AGCTAACGCGATTGAGCTTTACAAATAAACGAACTAGATAAAAAAAACTAATGCATTGACAATGTAACGCTTCGCAGAGTAGAACGTATGACGTATGGCGAATCGTCAACTGGGATTTATTTCGAAGATTTCTCGAGATTTCAAAGACCCTCACTGCTTGAAGGCACTATATTACTCTTTAGTTCGGCACACATTTGAGAATGCATCTATGGTCTGGTCTCCATATGAGCTAGTGATCCATACCAGAAAATATTTTTGAGGTTGGCTTTGCGCAGCCTGCAGTGGCGCGATCCAATTAATTCACCACCTTATGCAGACCGATGCATGCTATTAGACCTGGACACATTGGAACACAGAAGAAAAATGCAACAAGCCTTATTTGTAGCGAAACTTTTAAATTACGATGTGGACTTCCCTCAACTGCTTTCACAATTAAACTTTCGTGTTCCTCAAAGGATGTTGCGGCAATCATCCTAACTACAACCAAGATTCCATCGGACTGCATATGGATACCATGAGCCAATGTCTGCGATGATTCGGGCATTCTCCGCTGTGGAAGAAGCATTTGAATTCGGAGAAACATCGAACCAATTTCGAAACCGATTGAGAATATTGTGATTATTTTTGTAATCTGTTTATCTGTTGCTTTTTTGTGTATTATCTAAGTTTTATTCAATAAGACAACTACTTTCAGATGAATTACAATAAATAAATTAAATTAAATAAAGTTTCCCCTATTAGAATATTAAGATTTTGTATTGAAAAACATTGATTGTATTTGATATTTTTGGTTTTCTTGGCCGCAATATGTTTTTATATTTTACCTTGAAAATGTAGGCTTTTTTGCACATTACATCACAAAATCAGTTTTAGGGTTCTCACTCAATACTCCTATGTTAACAGCAGAACTTTAAGTTAAGTTGCTTTCATTTAAAAAAAATTTGACTACATAATGAAATCACAATTTGATTTCTGACTAATGTCGCGACAATTGAAATCAAAATGAGATTACATTATGATAGGAACTGCAAACTTTAATATCGATTTGCTTTCATTTTGTCAACGGACTTTGCTCGGGTAGAGTATGTTATAGTCGCTATAAATCGAATGGAGATGCATGGTAGAGGGGAAGGGAATCAGCGCTATAACAATAAGTCATATAGGACTAGAACAAGAGTTCGTGCTCATGTCCCGACCAATAGAGGAAAATGGAGCATCACTTAACCTTTTTTAGACTAGATGCTTCCAACAACCAATCATTTATAAAAAAATAATACACCGGAACGGACGGTACGAGATATCCACGTTTCATCCATTTATTGGATTCTGAAGAATCAAAGATATATGTTTTGAATCATCTTGCCGCTTAAATACTGCACAGTAGGCCTGGCCATTTTGATATAATTTGCGCATGGCTGATGTGCAACATATACTAAATAGCAGAGGCGTTGCGTGCCTCATTTGTTTACCTGTGCATCAAACTTTGTTCGTTATAGTTTACAACCACATGTTAGTTTTTGTTTTATTTTTCAATGCTCCATGAATTCGAGGGACATATTCTCAATTACTATATTAATCACTACCAAGCGTAACATTTGAAGGGCCTATCATCTTGTGTGAACAAAACTTGTATGGCCCTTTTCGCGCTAACCGAAGTAGGAGGAATTGCAAAACTTAACTAATTCTCGTTTGTATCACAAGGTTAACTCTTTCGACTGAAGTGTAATGAAGAATATCCGTGAAGCACTTCCGAAAACATTTTTTTGATACAAAACAGTGTCAAAATCTAAAAAAAAAAATCATGAAGTCCCCTGGGTAGCTTGAATTAATCAACAGTTGTTGAGTTACTCTTTATTCATCAGAACAACACTTCATAATGAACCAGGGGAAGCTCATAAGTTTAGACAGTTGCACCGGCTCAACCATCGGTAATCGAGAGATTTACAACTGACGAGAGTGAGAGTGAGCTTTTGCGCTCTCTTTCTCCATTAACCTCATTGCCTGCAATCAGATATCCAAGTGCACAGCGAGAAATGCACGCTTTAGGCACCCATACATCACAAATGTTCTTCTAATTAAAACTCACACATTCAAAACGGTCTGCAAGTATCATAAAGACCAAAGCATACCAGACTGCTGTTTCCGTGTTGCTCCCGTTTGACGCGTGACTGCTGGAAATTTCAATTACAATCAGTGGTACAAACCGCCATGTATTGTGGACAATTTGTGGTATGTTTCAGGTGATAGAAGGTCTGCTTGGCTTACATCAGGCATTTGACCATTCACAAACTTGCCACCCGCCACCCAAAAAAGCTCGCTTTTAGCTACCCTATTTAACGAGTTTTGTCATGATAGTGATATCGACATGCTTAGAAATCAATGCATTAAAGATTAGACAGACCATCCGAACTGAATTTAATCCTTTTTGAAGCAAACAAAGGTCGAAGATTTAATTGAATCACAATATAAAATAGTGTATTCATGGTCACTTGTGGTCTGGAGTAAAGAAGTACAGCTATAATGTGACCATAAAATCTATAAAAATCTAAACGCATTTTTTAAATTATTTACACCTGTGTCGTGCACAGGTTGCACATGTGAACGCGACGCCACTGCTAAATAGACAAGAAAAATTATGGAGGTACTAGGGGAAATGGCTCTAATGTTGGCCTATGGATCTAAGATTGGGCCCATCGCTAAAATCTGCTATTTATCATTTAAGATGAACGCGTCATTGGTACGGTACTAATAGATATTTTTGGACTCTATTGAAAATTTAGACGATTGCTGAATTTTTGTATGGGCCCAAATTAGGAACATTTAGGCCGGCATAAAATCCATTTCCCCTATATCGATAATTTTCCAGAATGCTATCATGAACTGGTTGTGTTGGAGTTAGATTAGATTAGTTTAGAAAAGACAGTTTATTAAAATATTAACTTCCGTGGCAAATTAATAAACTACCAGGTGGAATGGAATTTATGTAAAAAAAATATAGATCTAATAAAATCTAGTTTAAACATACACAGTCAGTGCTAGAAAAATTTCTGGAAAATTATAAAAATGTAAAAGTCCATTAGATCTAGGGAAAAACTAAAGGTTGTAAGGACAATTAAAACATATGCTCAAAAGGATAAATTCAGAGTTGTTAAATATCTCAATGATAATCCTGTGTTACGGCTCAATGAAAAACCGAAAAATCGGGGGTACAAGTTCTAAGGATCCCCACGGAAAATAACAAGACTCCCATACATAGAAAAGTGAGTGCTGAAGACAATTCTCGGCAGCAAAGGTTATTCCAAATTGCGTCAATTCCAGAAGCCACTTTGTAAGAGTTGATGGAGAATTAGGATAGCTTCTATTTAAAATTTGAATGTCCTCCAGAATAGATCCAGATAACCTTTTAAAAACATACTGAGTAAGGATCAGGGACATACATCCAGTGAAACTCAAACAGAAGTTAAAATGACTAAAACAAGAACTTAAAAAGTTCAATGAAAAAGGTCAGAAGCTCGCGAACTAACATGCAGAATAAAAATTCTGTATTAGTGATGTAAACTTCCATGCATGCAAACATTCATGCATATAAACTTCCTTTCCACGTAAACCAGCAACTTGCGAGAAATATTACTTACAAAGATGGACGATACAATTTATGAGATATCTCATAAATTTACGCGATCTATAATGTAAACTTGTTTGATATATGACGCTCCATTAAATTTACACTACTTTCTTGAACTGTGTAGATCGACAACTTCGGAAGATTCAAGTCATCATTAGGTTTTTGGGTCTATTGAACTTACTCCCTCTTTGAAGTTTTCTGAACCTATTATTGAAATGTTCGAGGTCTACCATCGAAGAAAGCGTAGCCACAACCAAAGTTCATCGGAATCGCTTCATATCTAGTTTTAACTCTCACTTCCGTCTCCCGGACCCTCACCTAAATTACCCGAATTTGTTATCGAAGTCCAATTTAATAACCTTTCAAGTCCTCCTGATATGTCACGAAGTTCCCCGACGATTCTAATAGAGGTGCACTTTAACCTTTTTAAAATCTTCAGACTCGATCTTAACAGTTTTTTGGCCACCTTCGAAGCCATCGATGAAATCCACCGGGTTCGGCCTGAAGTCTCCTGAATCTAATTCTTCCTGAAAGTTTTCTTGGTGTACCATAGAATACCACCAGTCATACATTTTTCATACTTTTTTGGTATTGCCAAAACCGAAACACTGCTGCATATGTATTCGTATATCAAATAAACCATTCTGCTTGTCTAGAAATGAAGAAGAAGCAATGAAAGATTCAAGTTATTTTGATTGTCCGCATGCTGACTTTATTAAATAATTAAAATTTATGAAAAATAATAATGTTTTTATGATTTTAACAAAAGATCTCCAGAAACAGTATGTTTTTATAAGCACTTTAACACTTTTAAGAACTGACTTCCAATTTTTCGATACTTCAGTACTTTGAATTGCCAATGTCCCGTTTATAAAAAGGCCCGAACAAATCCAAATGTTTCTAACCAAAAATGCCATTCGATGCACTAAAATCTATAATTACTTCTTTGTTTATAAATGTCTCAAAAGTCATTTCTACACGCAAAACTAATCCAAACCTATCGTCCTCACCCATCTGGGCAAGGAACTGCTACTTCAGCTCTATGGGAATAAACTGAGAGACAGCCTGATCAGCCATTGAAAAGCAGAAAAGAAAAACTGCTCCAGCTCGACTGCCACACTGCAACCCCTTCGAATAACAAACAGATCTCAAAGTTCGCGAGAGCTCTCCGGCATCTCCGGCTCTGTCTGGGAAAGGGAAAAAAAACAGCAACGCGTGAGTTTTAACCAACCGAACTGAGCCAACTTCGGCGCTCGGGCATCAAGCAAAGCAGCATCAAATTGAGCGAAATTTTTCGAGCCACATTTCGAGCCCCACCTGCACAAGGCGAAATGCAGCAACTCCCCCGGTAGTATATAAATCGAATTGTCCGTTCCAGCTGTACCTCACTGTGGATCTCACTGTGTGTGCAAGAGCAGCAAAAGAATCGCGATCGTGTGAAACATTTAGTATCCTAACGGAACGAAAGGACTTTACGGGCAGTGATAGTGTGTAACTTGTGTTATAAAGCAAGAAAACGATATTAGTTTAGATCCCGCTTCATCACTTGGAAGGTTGTGAAAAATGCGTGCGATAGTGCTAATTTCGGTCCTGTGCGCAGGACTTGCGGTCGCTTTCCCGCAGCAAGCCATAGATCCTGCCTACCTGCGTCAGTATTATCAGCAGATTGCGCAACAGGCCGGTGCTCAGGGCGGTTCGGCTCAGGCCCGTGCCGATGCAACTCCGATCTACGAACAGGGAGCTCAAGAACAGCAACACGTGCCACAGTACGTCCACCAGCAGCAACATCAGCAGCAAGGACAACAGGTGAGGTTTCGTAGTGTTGGTGTGAAATTGGAAAAAGGACTCGGCTCAAATTGGCAGCATAGATAGTGAACTGAAGACTTAATGCGAGTCGTGTAGTGAAGTGAAGCAGATGAACCCTGTCTCTCTCTCTCGAAAAGGATGTATTTGTGATTTAGTTTTGTCGTTCTATAATTCCCAACAGATTCAAAAGCAGTACCAGCAGCCACAACAGGCTCGACAGTATCAGCCCCAATATCAACCGCAGCAAGTGAGTGTTAAAATGTATATAAAGGAGCTAAGTGCTTTGCTTGGGCGACACATCGGACACTTAGCTGGCATACTTGACAAACTGCACAGGACCGGTGAAAACACATTTACTTCCACAAAAGCATGAAAACTACACTTGACAAAACTTTAGTGGTGCATTCGTTCCCACAATCACACGACTTTTTTTCAATGAATTTCCACTCAAAAACGACACTTGAAGACAATCATTCGCAATCGCAGTAGTAGGGTAGACGTCCAATAATGGGTTGCTCCAGTCATGGCCGCCCTACTATGGAAAATATTGAATTTATTTACAATTGATCCGGTGTGAAGCTCAATCGCCTACGGTAACCATCGCATAAATTCTCTGTTCGCTAAATTTTAAGCTATAGTTGACAGAAATAACGAAATTTTTGGCAAGTTTGTCTACAACGATGCTGATTTATGCGACTAAATTACGTGTAAATTTACAATGTATCGCATCAAACAATGTACTGCAGAAAAAAACATTCATGAGAAGAACTGAAATTGTGATTAACTTTCAATGGAACATTTAAGAACATCATATTTGAGATGCAAAAATAACTCAAATAATATTTCTTGAAAAATTGAACCGCAAACGTAAACATTTCGAAACAATCATGACACTCACAAAGACAATACTCATCTTGAAAACAATGCACCACACGGAAGAACACAACTACCACTTCCAGTCATATTGCTAAACATTCTTCCATATCCTACACTACAAGAAGACAACATTCGCTTAGTAACTCGCTAAAATTTCTACTAAATTTCCAGCAGCAAAACTCGCCCCTCAACCGAAAAAAAAATAATGTCCATTTCTCCACCTACTCCATCCATCCCCTAGATCCAATACGTCCAGGAACAGCAGTATGCTCAGCCCAAGCAGTTGAAGGTTTCCAAGCCTCGTCCGGCCCAGGAGTACCAGAAGCACATCGATGGAGAAGATGCGGATTTTGATGTAAGTGTGCACTAGCAATCATGTTGCTAGTGAATTCAACGGTATTCACTTCCGTGCGCCAGAGTCTGCAGTCATGTGCTCGTCGAACCAGTTCCTCGACGAGATCAGGTTGACAATTACGTGTGGTCACCACCGTAGCAAGATGACCAGATGCTGCAGTCAGTGGTACACTTGTACGTTGACCGTCGCCGTGTCGTCATCGGACGAGTAGCAGCAGCCACCGCCATCCTATCATGTAAAATGCACAAGAGACTCACTTTCGCGGCAGCGACTGTGCAGCAACTGGGAAAAGTTGCCATATGGAAGTTTTCTAATTTAAGCGATAAATCTTACCCCGGTCCGACGAACGAACCGTCCCCGGAGTAGGTGATATTGTTATGTCTTAATTAAGGCTAGTTGGCGGAAAACATGCAGCCTGTATTTTTCAGGAATTCGAATGTTGCCACATTACCATTTTCGCCAGACAAGGAAAAAGATCAAGTTGGATTGGCCTAACGAGCAACGTGCTGTGCGCTTTTGTTACAGTGCACAACGGTGCAGTATATGGTTTTCCTTTCGTTTGAATTTTAAATAACTGACCGTAAATTAACCGTAAGAAACACGAAAGCCAAAATGGATAATAAGATACACCACAAGCTGCTTGCTTGATGGGCGAACTGACCACGGTCAAGCTGTGGATATGTTGAGGTACGCACGCATAATGGCGGCCAATTAATGGCGTGAAAAGAAATGAGGAAAATGCTCCGCGGGGCGCGTGTTGTGATGATGCGCTGAGCTCGCTGGCTTCGCATAAAGGTGTGGAGCATTTGCAGTAACCAATTGATTAATTGACGGTATCCATTTATGGTGTTGAAATTCGAAATGGTTTGAATTGGGGGTTAGTCAAATTTCTTCGTGCACGATTTGATCTCTGCGTGGCATGGAAAGATGACTTCGCGGGGAGATGGAACTGACGTAGGCATTATAGCATTCGTTCCTCTCACGCTGGAATCCATAAGTTCAAATTTAATCCCTGGACAAATCACGAATAATCTAGAAAGGGCTGAAGTGACTATATTAGAAGACAGCATTTCAGTAGGACTGTCAACTCTACCAAATCCAAGAGCTAACAAAAGGTTAGACACCACACTATGAATATTTTGGATTGTAAAACATTCTACATAAAACACTACCACCACGTGTCCGCCAAACAGTTATTGATAGTAAGTAGCGGATTACTTTCAATAACTGTTTGGCTTCAAAGTAAGATGGAATTTTCAATTGCAGTTTTACTCAGGTCACCCAACCAACTTGCTGGATTTTTAACTGCATACAAACAAAGCGAAATTAGATTTTTGATATCATGGCTAATCAGTTTAGTAAACATTTAACTAGAACTACATTTTAAAAGGGCATACCTATGTGCCAAATGAAAACGATGATTTTAAACGTCGATTTCTCACGGATTAAGACTCATTTGGGAAAACCGACAGGAGTATCTAGTTGAGGACGTTTGTGATTCATGCGCTATCAACGTTTAAAGTCATGTTTTACGCTTGGTACATAGGCCCTTTACGCATGTTGCTCTAGAAATATTTCCAATGCACTGTGTGTTTCGTCTTAACTTAATGCCATATATCCAAACCGATGCAAGTTCAGAATCGAACCCAAACTTTTTTTTAACTCTTATTAACAATATTAAGGTTGTTTGGATACGAAAAAGTAATGATAAAGAGAGAAAGAGAGTAATCATCTCATCACAAACATCACAAACAAAACACAAAATTCTTGCAGATATGCAACAATAGCTTAAATACTGTCACTTTTCCAACAATCTTTACAGATGTTTATACACAACTGAGGTTGAGCTAGAACGACTGCGCTATGCTTAATTTAAAAGAAAAACAGAAATTGCTTAAGAAGTTACTCAAGAAGCTTAAGGGCAGTAAAACAATCCCAACATACCTTGTAAATGTCGTGCAATCATAGAAATTTTCCAAGATTTCCCAGTCCCAGTAGCCAAGTTTAATTTAAAATAAGCTGACGATAGCATCCACCTAGTTTAAAAACTTGAGGGAAATATGGAATTCTTATGAATGTTTATACTTTTTGCAATTCTGCCATCCAAATCAAATCCTGTTGAAAATATTAGCAGCTCCACCCAATAATACAACTCGGCGGTTTTGAATCTTTCGCCAATTGCGACCCACTTTAAGAAATTTCTCAATCCTGCGACCCATATTGTATTTCAAAAGTTTCGTTTCATGGAAGACAGACCAAACATTTCATGAGTTATACAAATCAGCTTTGAAAAGATTCAAATTTATTATTATCAGCCTCATAGTAAGCAAATAGCAGCAACTAAACATTTGTTGAGTGTAGAATGTAGTTCCGGATGCTATTTGATGTTTTTTGTAAATTATACGAATCGATTATCGGCGCTGCTTGTTCGGTGCAATTGTTAAAAACATGGCAACGGTTTACGAACAATTTTCGACTCCTAAAACTAACTTGACGTGAGTTTGGGCTTCTGCAAATTCTGATGAATGTGGGCGTTTTAGTGGAATACCTGTATAAAAAGAGATAGAGAGAAGAATTAGTAATTCCCATTTAATTCCACTACCTTATTTGCTTATCCTTGACAGATACGTGTATTTCGTCTACAATGTGCAGTGTGCTTTTTCAGTGCCTTGTACTAATACTCGAACTCTTTTTCTGAAACTAATCAAAAATTATTCTCGGCTGCTGTACCTTATTTGGTACGTTTTTGGCTTCTGAAACTTACTTGAAACGAGTTTCGGCTTCGGCACCTTGTTATGAACGATTTTAGGCTTTTGAAACATACATTAAACGAGTTTCGGCTTCTGCAACTTACGAAACGGGTTTTTCAACTTGTTAGAAACGATTTTTAGTTTCGGTAACTCATAAGAAACGATTTTCGGTTTCAGTAACTTATAAGAAATGATGTTCAGCTTCTGCCAATTTTGGGGCACGTTTTCGGCTTCTACATCATATTAGGAACGGTTTTTGAGCTTTGCAACTTACAAAAAGAGAATAACATCTGCAATTTATGAGTAACTATTTGCTGCTTCTTCAATTAAAAAGAATTAACATTCGAATTTTGCAACATATTAGGAACGAGTTTCGGATTCTGCGACTTATGAAAAGACTTCTATAATCTATTCAAATTAGACTTCCGACATAGACTTATATTCGGTTTCTGTATCTTCTAAGAGGCGACATTCAGGTTCTGCTAATTTTAAGGCACGTGTTTCGGCGTCTACATCGTAGCAGGAACGATTTTCGAGTTCTGCAACTTAGTTGTCAAAATTGTCCACTTCTGCAACTTGTAAGTTGCGATTTTCGGCGCCTCTTACGTGTTAGGCACGACTTATTAAAACCGATTTTTCGACTAGTGCAACTTATGAGAAAATATGTTGGCCATTTGCGACTTATAAAAATTAATATTCGGTTTCTGACTAGATTGACTAGAAACGATTTACGATTTCTACAAAAAAATAGGATTTTTCTTTTATATTATTCATTATTAAGATGATTTTTAGCCATTTATGAATCATTTCATCATCAACAAATTAAGATCGATTTCCGGCATCTGAGCAATTCCACGCCAAATGACGCACATTTTTGCTAAAATTCGGCCATTTTAGGTTTTTTAAATAGCGGTCTTGAAATTTTGGCCAAATTTTAGCAAATATGTGAATCATTTTATGGAACGATTTTCGGCTTCTCCAACTTATGTGAAGCGATATTCGGCTATTGCATTCAGTTAGAAATGATTTTCAATCTCTGTAGCTTATGTGGAACGGTTTCAATGTATTACTACTTATAAGAATCGTTTTTCGACTTCTGCAACTTATTCAGAACGATTTTAATTAATAAGAAAGAATGTTCGCCTTCTGCAAGTTTTTAGGAACGCTTTTTGGTTTCTACAAATTGTAAAGAACTCCAACTGCAGCTTATAAGAAACTATATTTGTCTTCTTTAAACAACTTACAAATAGGGGAATTTACGTATTCCATCAACATTTCCTCTGCGTCACGCACACATATGACGCGTTTCCTTGTGTAAATTTATCTGCTGCTTGCTTCTCTATGCATTCCAATCGACAGAAGTGTCCTAAACTGTTTGAAAGTGTTTTTACAACGCCGCAAACTTCACTTGTGAGTGTGACTATTGTCGGCAGCCTCTTTTTCTTCGGAAACCTTTCCATTCGAAGTGCGTGTAAAGCAGCTGTTCTATTATTGGCATCTCAAAATCAGTCGTATATTGCAGTGCGTATATTTAGTTTAAAGATAAATCTGGCATAACATGATTGCTCAGTCGTAAAACTGAAATCAGATTGAAGCTGAAAGACTAAGTAGTTTTGATGGGAAAACTACAGTGAATTGACGTTTAGATTTTTGGTGCCGAAAACAGTCAATGGATGCCGAAGTCGACATTAACCCTAGTACCTTGTCGGCCATTGCAAATGATAATAAACGATTTTTTGCTATTGCAACGTATGCTTCTGAAACTTATCAGAAATGATGTTCGGCTTCTGCAACTTATAAGATTCCATTTTCGAATTTATGCAAATAACTAGGCATACTTTTCGGCTTTTGCATTCAATAAGATACAGTTTCCGGCTTTGCTAAATATTAGTAACGATTGTTGACCTCTGCAACTTACTTAAAATTATTTACACAGTCTCTGCAACTTGTTAAGAAAGATTTTAAGATCCTGCGACTTACAAGAATCAGTTATCGGTTTCTGCAACTTAAAAGAATCGATTTTTGACATCTGCAACATATTTAGAACAATTATTTAATTGTAATTCATATGAAAGATTTTTCACCATCTTCCAACGATGTTTGACTCTTGAAATTTATGAATAACGATTTTCGGTTTCTCCAACTTACAACCTTTTCCAACTTTTTATGAACGTTTTTTGGCCTCCGCAACTTATCACGAACGATTTCGGACCACTTAACCTATGACTTAGTATGAGCTGTTAAGAGTTGCTTTACTGTAAGCTTGCATAATATATTCCCTAGAATTATTTCACCATTTACTGGCAAATTCAGAGATTTAAAATGATCTTTAGAATGTAGTCGATAGCACCCATGCCTCTCACTTTGAATGTTACGAGTTCACATCTCATTCCCGTACAAATCACGAATGACTATATTTTTTTTAAAGTGACTATTGCGCAGTTCTACATGAAACCAGATTTTAACCAATTTAAATGAAACTTTGTCTATATTTCTAACCGGTTGGTGGAATCTTAAAGGTGCAAAAGGACTATAAACTTGCTACAACAATGCGTGCACACAAAAAACATGTTTTTCGAATTAATTTTCTAAATATTTCGAAAATGGCGGCATTACGAAAGATGTTCAACGTGACATCAGAAATCGTTAAAAGTGGTTAGAATTTCAACTTTACATTTGAAAATATAGGCTTTAATAAATCCATGAATTTTTTTTTTACGTTTTAAAATCAATTATCTACAACTCGTGTTTAGATACCATTTCGGTGCAATCAATAGTTTTTTTTTTATTTTTTTTAACATACATTCGCCCTTTTAAAATATGACGCTTCTTTTATAATGATCTAATTAGCTATGGAAGATTAATATTCCCCCTGTCGAAAACAAAGTTTCATTCAAATCAGAAAACTTCGCGTCAGGTTTCATTTTATTCAGAATAATTTCGGGTGGAACTGTTCTACTATTAAAAAAACATATTTTGTTGATTTTAGAGTTGATTTTACAGTTTCCGTTGAGTTTGGCAACATGACTAACGTCTTTAATTTGCTCTTACTCTTCAACTTAAAATAGTAAACTCTACCTCAATATTTTTCCTAATAGGTAGTTCAGGATGCGATCAGATAATCAGATTTGAAATTATTAAAAATCGAGGAAGTTAAGAAGCCAAAAATCGATTATTAAAAAATTAAAAATATATTTTTTTATATTAGCCGTATATCAGCTTTATATTGTAAAAAAGACCAATTAGTGGGCTATTTTGGTTACTAGTTGGTAGTATTGCTGATTCACTTTACACAAATCTGATTTTATTAAGTTTGAACTAGAATTGTGATTAGAAGTTCCTGATCCAAGTTTTTTAAGCTATTAGTCTTTGAAAATCATAGTTTGTTTATTGTTCATCTAAGAGTTTGAGAATAGTTTATTTAAACGTTGAAATCAGTTTCATTTTGAAAATTCGAATGGATTACACTTTTAGCAAATTTTCTAGCCCATAAAAATTTCAAACAAGGCAATCTCATACGAACATTTTAATTATTTTCAAAAACAAGTCAAAACATAATCTGAGGCGTCTTGTATATGGCTGAAAAATACGACCTAAAACTTTTGCAACCCACCTAAAGAAAGCCCACAATCATCAACATAGAAACGTTTTGAAAGGAATTTTAAAGTTTCTTAATTAGGTGTTTCACGCTGCTTCTGACAGCACTCACCATTAGAAGGGCAAGCACGCTTCAATCGTATGGGAATATCGACTTGAAAATGTATGGCGAAATTCACTTTTGATTGAAAATATCAATAATGGTGCAATTGACCCGACATATTATTCCTACATAATGTCAGTACCTATTACTAAAAATACCAAACATGTAGAAATTTCCTCACCGCTTGAAGCAAGGCTTGAAGAGAAATCGACGATTTTTCGAAAATCTCCATGCCGCATAACAAGTTTATCCAACACTGGGGCGACAACAGCCGGATTTGATGGTGGAAATTATTGCTCAATTTTTAGTTTGTTGGTCTAAGAGTTTGATAATGGTTTATCTTTGGCAATTTTAAATGGATTGAAAAGTTAACAGATTTTCTAACCCATAAAATTATAAAAGAGTACGAAGATTTATTTTTTATTTTCAACCCACCTTACCATTAAAGTGGTAAAAAAATTTGAACGGAATTTTTTAGTTTCTTAATTATCATACTCTATTCGTTATGTATTATTTGCACATTGCGGCATCCCAACTAAGTTATCGGCAAAGATGGATTTTGTTAAATTATGTACCAAACGCCACTCCTCCCCTCGTCAATACCCATCTATGCGATTCTTATATGAATAGAATACATACAGGAAGAATACTTGTACATGCAAGTGAAAATAAGCTTTCTCAAGTTTGATCAGCATCAAATCATGCTTCAGAATAATTTCAAATGGGAAAATTCTAAATTGGTACGCAATATCTTATTGGAACACACCTAGTTCAGTTCACATTGGATCGCAAGTTCTAACGACACGAAAAGGTGTGGAATACAATCATTTAACCATATGTTTAACATTATCAGCCTGCAAATCAATTACCGACAAAAATGGCTTCGTCTAACTACAACTAATGAACAGAATCTCCTACGGTGAATGTCTGCTTTGGAAGAGCTCGCAATGATCGGGCTGGCTCACTTTTAATTGACTCCATAAATTTGAACGCCACCCAGCGTCCATAAATTACCGCACTGGCAAATGCAACGCAACGAAAAGCGACATTCTTCGCGACTTGAATACACGTGTTTCGAACCGCAGGCCACAAAAAAGTGAGCTAAACCGGACACTAATGTATAGCTTATAAAATTTATGCGACACTTTTCCTTTCTTCTGTAGTATTAAACTCCAGCGACGACCGGCTGCAGTTGGTAGTTGAACCTGAAACTAAATACTTTCTGAAACACAACTGTCAAACGAAGTGTTACGCTGCATGGAGATATCGTATTTTATTGACTCATTTTACTCTATGATTACCACTTAAATAGCACCATTATAAGAGGAAATCAGCAATATAAATCACATGGTTGAACATCAACCATTATGCAACCAACTTCAGCGAATGCTAGCGACCAACGAACAAAGCGAAAACAGATGTGTTTTGCATGATTTGCGGTGTGATATAATGCACTCTGTACCCAATCAGGTGGACAATAAAACATAAAATGCACATAAATGCACAGACCGCAAAGTAGCCGGATCAAAGCGAAGCGACTCACGAAAGGTGAACCGATTAACCCCTTCAGGGTAACTGATTTATAACATTCGCCATGATCGCAAGTAGTGCGCTCTAAAATGGTGCCGAAAGGGCTCACTATCAACTGCACATACCATCTAGGACAACTCTCGTATGATATAACCCATTAAATGAACACTCCATGACATCGAAAGTGAAAGCACATTCAAATGATCTACTACCACGACGAGCAACATTGTCGGTCAATGAAAGCTCACTTACTTGTGCCCCATAATTTGCTTCATTACATAAGAAAACTGCAAACAAGCGACCTACATACAGTATGTACACCACCATTGCATATCAATGCATGCTCTAACCGCGCGACATGTCCCTGTTTCTCTTCCCCACCAGCACAATCCAAACTACCAGTTCGGCTTCGACGTCAAGGATGACGAGTTCACCAACTACCAGAACCGTCAGGAACAGCGTGAAGGAAACGTCATCAAGGGTAGCTACTCGGTCGTCGACTCCGATGGATTCATCCGTACCGTTACCTACACGGCCGATCCGAAGGAAGGCTTCAAGGCCGAAGTCAGTCGTCAGCCGACCGACATCGTCGTCAAGACCCCCAAACCAAATACGGATTGGCAGCAGTCTCAGATCCAGCACCAGCAGCAACATCAGCAGCAACAGCAGCAGCAGCAGCAACACCGTCCCCAGCAGCAACCGCAAAAAGCCCGACCGGACTATACCCAATACCAGTAGGGTAGGCTAGCGGGAAGAAAAGGCTGATGATATACAACAAGACTTATCCTATACATATTTCCTCTTCGTAGAAACAACAATCCTTCTTTAACCTGTCCTCCCTTAACCCACATCATTTAGTATCTCATCATCTTAGAAAAGAAAAGAAAACTATAATTTATGATATATTGTAATAATAATTTTAATTTTAATTATGTTACGTTAGATCAGAACACCGTTAATTTCACACTGAGACATTACTACCGTGGATATGAATCGTAACGGACAGAAGAAGGCGGAAAAAAAACAAAACATGAATCATGAACAATAAAAAAAACAAATCTGAAATCAACCCCTTCTGGCATTTTTTAAATATCCCACACTTTGTTGTCACACCACGAGAGATTCAATTAAACCGTTTGTACGTTTATTTTTGTTACAACTTGTTATGCGCAATTGAGAAGAGGTCATTTTGCATCTCCTCGTCGACATTAACTGCGGTAACCGTTACGCGAATTGTTTCAAATTGTTAGTCACTCACTTGAACCCACGCCACCTGCCGTGCACACTGCTGCGCGACTTGTAAGATTGAAATAAAAAGATGTGAAATAATCAAAAAAAAACTCTGTGTTTTACACCTGTTATTGAAAGAACGTATGCTGTTTGGGGTGGATCAAATTTCACACTAATTTCCCTGATACGTCTACATAAAAATAAAAATAATGATGCTCAACGGACTACGTAGACAGTTCTCGCAATAATCAAGCCATTTTTACTGTGCATGTAATAAAGGGTGTCCGATTAAATTGCATCCCGAGTAGAGGAGAATATCAAATTATTAGCAAGTTTAAGTATTCAAATTTGGGAACAGAACATCAAACATTGCTATTAGTTTGATTGATATAAGAGGTAAAATTTTAAAAATATGTATATCGACGAATCTATGCAACGGCAGTTGTTGCCCAGTGCTGTAAATTTTCATATCATTCGATTGAAGATGAACCACTACAACCATTCAATCAATTCTGTGTAAACGAATTCTCACATGACCATACTTTGAAGAGCCCCTTTCTCATTCGAAGCTCATTGTCACTGTCAATTGAGTCACTCAGTATCATTTGATATACGACAGTGGAGTATGGAAGAAATCCAGGAAAATGGTCCCGAACAGACAAGTCGACCCGATGTCGGATCAATGTAAGGCTAATTTAAGGTCGATGTCGACCCAATGTCGTGTTAATGTCAGGTCAATTTTGGGTTTATGTCGGGTCAATGTCGGGTCAACATCGGGTTGGGGTTTGATAGAAGTCAGGTTGGTGTCGGGTTGGCTTAGCTTTTTCGCCGGAATGTCGACCAGAGCTCCGTTTGTGTGTAGGTTACACTCAATCGAATGATATATAGCGTTTCTCAAATGAGAATGATCCATGCCTTCGTCAAATGACTAAGCAACTGATATCACCCATTCGGAGGAGGTCCCCTTTGATAGCGAATAGCTACTTTTCTCATTTTCATCAAAAATGTTCAAATGATTTTGAGAATTTACAGCACTGAGTTGCCATACCTAAAGAATAGCAAAATTCACATCAAATTATTTAAAGGGATGAATGACCATAATCCGGTTTAAACACAACACAAAAAAAAACAAATTAATATCACATTTTGCTATTATAAATAGTCTATTATGCGTATATATTGGCTTATATTGTGCTATAATATATCCTCAAGCTTTGGTATGTTGTTTGAATTAATCAATTTAATGATATATTAAAGGCTTATTCTGTTATTTTTTTTCGGGTATCAAGCTGCGTGACGGATTAATTTTCAAGACTTGACCCATTTGAATAAATTTTGCTTCTATCTTTGACAATATAGCAGAAGGACTAGCCTATGTTGGCCGCTTGAACACTGGATTCCGTATGTACTGTTTCAAGATAGTTATAGAAAAAATGCTGAGACGTGTGCGCGTAGATACATCCGCTTAGTAAACCGATTGAATAAGAAAATCCATTTCGAACGAAATATCTAAATTATGTGAGTTACGAAAACCGCGCGAATTCCGAAAGCCGTGCGAAACAACCGAAGCGAGAAAAAAGGCTTATTATCATTTAAAGAGTGTCACCAAAATAAATGTGATAGCCTATGTTGGCAAGTTGATTAATTTTGGTTTCCTCCCTAGATATTCTACTTATTTACTACTGAGCTTTGTATCAAATTAGTTAATTTAAAGAACGTATCAATCATTTCAAGATTTCGCGACCGCACCGAACAAATTCTATACTACATAAGCTCAAAAGCGTTTGACAAGCTCTACCGAATTGCGTATCACTTCTGCGTAAGCTCCGTAGACGTAGGCGCGTTGAATCCGAAAGTCGGTAACCTGTACCAACACCGCTTAAGGAACGACCTCGAGTCAGTAAAACCGTTTAGAGCTAAACATCTAAATTACGTAAGATACGAAAATCGCGCAAATTGTGAACGCCACGCGAAACAACCGTAGAGAAAAAAAAACAGTATATTATCACTTAAAGAGTGCCACCAAAATAAATGTGATAGTCTATGTTGGCAAGTTGATTAATTTTGGTTTCCTCCCTAAATATTCTACTTATTTTACTGTTGAGCTTTGTTTCAATTTAGTTATTTTACCGCACGTATGTATCAATCATGTCAAGATTTCGCGATCGTACCGAACAAATTCTATACTACAGAAGCTCATAAAAAAAACTTTTGGTGAGCTCTACTGCATTGCGAATCACTTCTGCGTAACCTCCGTAGACGTAGGCGCGTTGATTCCGACAGCCGCGAAAAGTTAAACATGCATCAATACCACATAAGCAGGGCTGGTAGCGCTGATGCGATACAATAGTAGTGACTTTAGTGACTAAAATTACGGAAATAGTGACCAAATAGTGACTTTTGAATAATAAATAAGTAACCAATAGTTACATTTATATGATGACTCAGAAACTCAAATAAGGTTTAATATTGAAATAAATTGTTTTTATCGTGGAACTTAAAATGACATTTCATGATTTCCTCTAATTATATAGAAACTCTCAACGGAATCTCCTATTAAGAGCATTTGAAGTGCAATTTCCGGATTTTCCCAAAGATTTTTTCAAATGTTACTGTTAAATTGGGTAAAATAGATCATTACAACGACAGCATTTTTTTTTTTATCGAAAATCTTGAATTTGATTCTGCCATTGAAATCTTTAAAATTTTGATATAACTTTGATAATTCGCTAAGAATATTTCATAAAAAAAATTTCAGAATGTTCTCAAGAACTTTTTTAGATTTATTCCACTCCTCTTAAACTTTGCAAGTTTAACAAAAATAATATTTCATTCTCGAAATTCTTTGCAAAACAATGGACAACATTTTTTGGAAATAGATTAATTTCGTAGTTGGAGATGCTGAACGTGGACATTTTAATAAAGTATAGAGTTGATAGTTCCGTTGTACTACGGCAGTGTGAAAATTGTATATAGAAAGTAAAAAAGCGAGCTTCAAATAATTTTGGGGAAGGTACGAATCGGGTAGAGCATCCCTTTTACCAAACTCATCCGTTGATGAGGGATAGTGAGGGGTGTTTAACTCCGCTATACTGACAAAAGGGATGATCGCCGATTTGCTCATGTACCTCCTATGTGCAGAAACATTTCAATCAATTGTTTCACATTCAAATCGCCATCTGACGTAAGCATCTACCTGATTGCAATACCTGATTCGCAACTTCTTAAAAAAAATGGCCTTTGCTCGCTTTCTACTTCTACTTTCTATATAGAATTTTCACACTACCTCAATACTACTCACCTCTATACTTTCATCTTCTCATCTATCGTAAGTCTGATATTTGACGTTAAGCATCTCCAATTATTTAAATCGATAACTTCATGCATACATTAATAAATCATAATTAGTTAAAGTAGATTATATTTGATTTTTTAATTATTCTTCCAGGATTTCCATGAAGGTTCTTCCAATAAATCCATTTAAAATTTACTTGAATTCTCCTTAGAATTTCAATGAAATCAACATCAAAATTCTGCTTAGAATAATCTTGAACTTCTCCTCTGAATTATATTGGAAATGAAATTCGTATTCTTCTCAGAATTCCCATAGTATTTTCTCAGAATTCTCAAAACAAAAATCCATCTCAGAATACCCTTGAAACTCTTCGAAGAGTTCCTTTGAGAATGAACCCTCAAAAGCCGATTCCATTGGAATTCTTCTCGGAACTTATTTCGAATTCTTTGGAGATTTCTTTTATAACTTCCTTAGTGCCAAGTACTCAATTTTAAAATGTTGTTGATATTTTTTCCGTTTCACTCTATTTTAGTTGTGAAAAAGTGACTTTAGTGACTATTTTTAGGGAAACAGTGACTTTAGTGACCTTTTGGTTTGAAAAGTGACTTTTTAGTGACTGACTTCAAAATAGTGACCAAGTCACTAAAAAGTGACCTGCTACCAGCCCTGCATAAGGAAAGACCGATTTTTCGTATGGTTTAGTTCATAGATTAACATTGACTGCTGTTTAAAAATGTAAGTACTTGAACACTAAGAAATAAGTTAACTCAGATGCTTTAACCACATATATAAGAGATTTCGCGTATTGAGAGAATAATATAGTAATCGAGTACAACAAACTCAGGGAAATACAATACCTCCAAAAGTTTAAAAGCTATTAATTGTCACATTCCTTTCCTTTACTTATTTCCTAAACTATTCCTCTCCTTGTAAATCTGCTTAATGCTATTGGTCTGCCTGCGTTTTCTTTTTAAAGTTCAAGACTAAATAAGAAGATTTATTCTACAACTTTAAAGGTTAATTGCCTCCCTAAGCGGACCCCCCGCATCCTAATTCTTTTGTTAATCTACTTAATGTCATTAGACTTTCTGAAGTTTCTTATTTAAGTTCATTTGATGATTATGATATCTCATTAGTCTAATTTAATAAATTATTAAAAGGTCTAATTCACCTAATCAATCATAACCCATGCTTTATTAAATACCTGCACTTGTGCTTGTAATCTAAAATTAAACGTGTTTCAAGTACTTTTGATTTAAGTGACTAAAATGCTTCATTTTGAAGTTAGTTTCCT